TCGATCATCTTTTCGATAGTTCAGCACTTCTGCACAGGTAAGGATTTGCGAAATATAATGAACTCATCATCAGGAGCACGTCATACATAGGTAAAAACTCATTAAAAATATTCGACGCCTGGAAAATAACGTTCGATAAATATAAAATTAACGTTCGATAAATATAACGTTCGATTATAAAATATGTTTTTCATTAATCAATTATTTAATTTAATACTCGTCCTTTCATTAAGCATACCCAAATAATAAACTCACAACAGTCACACTGTATCGAAGTAAGTCTCTTAAAAAAAGTTAATGTCTGTGTTCATATGTACATTCAGAAGACCAAATGAATGCGTTTCCTTTCATTGCTGTGTTAATAGTATAATAGATTTAAAATTTATCAATAATTATAGAAATAAACGTTAACAATTGATACAACAATGTGTCACAACACAGTTCACGAACTGCGACATGACAAGAGCGCTCTCAATTTATGTGTAAAAGAAGATTTACGTGCAAGTATATTGATTTCATTTCATTTGTCTTAGGCAAAGATAGTTATTAATCTGAGTTCGACGCCTGGAAAATAACGTTCGATCTTAAGTTATAAAATATTTTTTATTAATAAATTATTTAATTTAATATTCGTCCTTTCATTAAACATACCTACATATAAACTCTCGAGTCACACTGTATGGAAGTCTCTCCAAAAATGTAATATCTATGTTTATATTTACATTAAAAGACCAAATGAATGCGTTCTTCTAAAGAACGACTGTATCAGCTTCGTGAAACGGATGTACAGTCGGTACGGTTGTACGAAGAGAAACGAAGAACGATTCTAATGCGATAAGATGCAATGAAAGAACACAAGGTAGTGAAGGCATCATTGGGGCCTCAGAACATCTTCGCAAGGCCTACGAACAAGCAAGAGCTACAAGAACTATCCGTCACCGAGAAAGGCAGTTTTGGCCGACTGAGTTACGTATCCATCCTCGGCAATTACGTTCACATGATTGTTTTCCGTAGATATGGCTTGTCTCAGCAAGATTGTCTGCAAGTTACTGGAAGCAGAGAGCAGAATTAAGTCTTTTCCATGTTCGTAATTTTCACTAGATGTGAACCCAAAGAAACATATGTGGAATCAACTCAACTTCGGTAGTCGTTGTGCAAATAATTCGCACCCTCCGATAGCTGCGAGACACTGAAAATATTGTGACTGTGAGTCACCACGACTGACAAGAAACTTTACATTCCAACTACGGTTGATGTTCCAAACGGCAGGTACTTTGCATACAAGCACGTGGACGTAAGTGTATGATACGACCTTGAATATCAGGCACTGCTTTTCCATTATTATATCACATATTTCCTAAATGTACGACCTTCAAATTCTTCTCAATCATAGATATATTATGTCTCCTTGGTATCATTTAACTGTCCTCAGAAGGAATGTGCACTTCATATGAGGACTGCTTTGTTTTGGGTTCTGTACAATACGAGGGAGGAGGGAAATGAAGGAGCCAGTCACTGCAAGAAGATCCGTAACAAGTCTTGAAATCCTAACGCCTCACGAAGTTTGTCGTATGATGTAACATGCCATCATATTACTTAGCATATTTTACTTTGGTGAATAGATTTGTTTGAAAAAAACAGTAGCTTTCTTTTATCATGGGGTCTTGTAATGAAAATCAAACGAAAATTATGCGATATCTTAAAATTGACAACACTTCTTATAGCAAGTACGAGGACATCGCTCTACATTTCACCAAAATGTCATGCATGCTATTTTGTTTGCGCAGGTTCGCCATAGCTGACGGCCGCGCTACGTACCAGAACCGCTTCCTGCAATCGCAGACCTTCCGGCGCAACGCAGCAGCGCGACGCAT